AGGAGGATTTACAATAATGCCGGAGGTCAGAGGAGTGGAAAGATCGACGGATGTGCTAAGGTGCAGACCGACATTCAATTCGCAGCGCAGGATATGCCCTGGCGATCTAGCATGGCCGTCCACGCGCCGCCATCGCCGCTGCCCGCCCTCCCCCAGGCCGTCTGGCTATTGCCGCGTAGTTTAGAGCGTTAGCGTTTTTGGAGTTGGCATCGATGCGGCACACTTACGATGCGCAAATCAACAGGCAAAAGCAATTCCTATTTCTCGGGTTGTAGGTTGCTTTTCTTGGTTTTCTCTTCGTCCCTGCCGATAATCTTTAATTTGTTTTTTAGTGTGCTGTCTACGACTGAAAAGTGCAAGGCAGAGCGCTAAGGAGTGCCTTGTTCTCTGCTGGCGCTGCTACTTTATTAATCGCAACATACGTGGCGTTGCGCCCTCTCGCGTGTGACGTGCTCTCTCGCGTTTTCCCTCTCCTCGCAGCGCTGTGTCTCTCCGTCATACCACGGCCGACCTCACAAGGGAAATTTCAGTGTTTTCTATGGTGCTTTTTGCTTTTCCCCACTCACGTTCCTCGTCGCACTTCTTGTCTGTCCTTTCAACAAAATAAACACCAATTCGATCCCAACCCGTGGCCTTCCCCTTCAACCTGGATACACGAAGGCCTACCAAATGAACTGACCTTGAACCATTCGGCCTTCATTTCCAAGTTTGATTTTGCTCGAACTTTGATAGCAATCACGTTGCCATTGTCCCGTTGAACAATGTGTGGCTTGTCATGGAAATCAGGTGCGTCTGGAACGAAATATGTACGCTGTACGAAAGAATAAAGGATAAAGCATTTGCCGTTGATCAATCCCTTTTTGGGATGCGGCACGCATTCTACTTCCATTTGTACATTCGTAGTGGCGTTTGAATGCGATGTGGCCTATACAATGACTTGCGGGGGCCAGCCGATGTACAAGTCAGTGTTTTTATCCTCCCAGACAAGTCTGGTACCAATTAACCGACCCCGGAGGGATGGAAGGCTTGGTTGGCCCGGGCGACTCACGACCCAGGATTTGATCCCCGGACCGCTCGCGTGGTAAGCGTGCCACTTGCCACTACACCACTTCCGCCCTTTGTACGCTGTTTATCTCTAGAAGGTGAACACCGTGGTCTTCTCATGAATGAAACGATCTTTGTAGAAATGTTAAAGAAATCTCACTTCCTGCGGTGACTGTGAATGTGGCGGCGTTTTCACCGTCGGCCGAATAAAATGTGGCCTTATATTCTCCAGCAAGTTCCTTATCAAAATTCTGAAATCAATTAGTTCAGACCTCCATTGGTCGTAAAATGACAGATGAGACAAAAGAAATGAGACTTTACCAGGAAAGGTCAACAAGGCGGTCTTGCTTTTTCTCGAAGCATTCGGCTTAGGACGCTAGGCTCATTAATGTTTTCCATTCTACTAAACGATTCTCTGGAAGATTATGAAGCGAAAAAGCGCAGTGGAAGAGGTCGGGTCCAGAGTGAAAATCGCTCGAGGAAGCGGCAACGGCTCGTCGAGGATTTCGCCTGTTCAGTTACGCTCTCCCGCGCGGACATTCACTCTCGCCATGCGCGAGCCGTCTGTGCTCTCCGCGCGTACATTCACTCTCGGCACTACTCTCGCACAGTAGAGAGCCATGGTCGAGGATTCCTCGACCGTTATTCACCCTGGTCCGGTTCCAAGGCGGGAGCTCACTGGATAGACTTCTTTTTGGGTTTGTTTTGCTCTTTTCGGTAACATATTTAAGGAGAGTTTTGACATCATTGCAGCAACAATTCAGCCTACATGAAGAGGTTGCGTTAACAATATCAGGGATCAAACCCGATATAGCGCTTGGAATTGACAGCGAGATGTGAAGTGTAACAATAACGGTGAAAAAACGGGAAGAAAACGGATGACAAGGGCGGAAATAAAGCCCCTCTTCAGAAGCGGCTAAGTTAGATAGCATAGATTTGAGGCGGGGTCTATGGTAAGGGCGGAGTATGTAGTGAATACTTGGGTCGCAGCGGGTCAACCTTGTTCAGCCGTGACGCCAAGTGGGTACATGTTCGTGCTTGCGTTCCACTGCATCTTTCTCGCACAAGAGCTCCATTCCATCCAAAAATTCCGGACCTTGCCTTTGAGGGCACTATCGATAAGTAGCAGAAGGGGAGAGCATGCGAAGCCATTCAAAGCATCGCTTAGCAGATATCAAAGGCAGGTTCACCTCACTATTCCAAGGCGATTACTATGATGTACACCTCATTGCGAATGACAGTATTCACCCGTTGACCTTCTCTGGTTAGGTGCCCATGCAAAAAAATCACCTAGTTAATCAAAAACTCAACAACACCGCTTACTCACCTTGATTTCGCAAGCTAACTTTTTCCTGTTGCCTCCTTCATCGGAAAAGCTGAAGTGATATCTTTCGTTTTGCTCCAGTTGCTTCTCGCCCAACATCCATTTTGTTTTGGCTGGGTCAACTCCAGTGACAACTACCTGGAACGAGAATTATTCCTTGTGCAATCGATTTTTGAGGATAATTTTAATTGAGTTGTGATCTTATAAAAAAAGCTTGTGAGTAAAGCTTGAAGTGCTCATCTATTTGGGATGAACCATGACAATTAGCAAATTTTAGATGTCAGCACGATCTTTGCTCCCCCTGTTCCACTCCCTGCGGTCAACTATTCGTTCGGAGAGTCCGCAAGTCGCAGAGGGAAAGTGACACTGATGCAGAAGGTGAGCAATTTTGGTTCCCCTAGGCACATCCTTCTCCTGCGCTCGGTTCCTGTACCACTTCATCTCGGATTTTGAAGGCCGTGTTTTAAATGTCCCCTCCCCTCTTCCCACGGTCGGGAGCGCCGGCATTTTGTTCGGGAGAAAACCGGTGCTTTTAGGCCAGACAAAGTACAAGAAAGTCAAATGAGATTCTGTTCACCGCAGGGCGTTTTCACTTCAGTTGCTTCCGGGAAAGACCACAGTTTATTCCTAAGCACTGATCGTGTGATTCTCTATGGTTCTCAGTACTGTCTATAAGATAAACGTTGGAACCCTTCTAAGGTTGAAAATTTGGCAATGGCTCGAAAAATCGTAGAACAAAGCCAAAGGGAAAATTTTAGCAAGGATTTCTGATAACACTATTTTTTCAAAGCTCCAATCAATCAGTATCTTTTTGACCAGGCAAACCTGAACGAAGATGACGCTAAGAAGTGATGATTATTGAAAGGATTAAAACTGCAAAATATTTGAATATCCTAGCGTGGCAAGCGAACTTCCAGAGAGATTCTTGAATGCCCTCGTATAGTTTGCAGACTGCCATGAGAAAAAAAATTTGTGCCATATTTTTTTGATTTGAAAATGTCATATTCGAATCGCACTCCATTCGTTGTTAAAATCGCTGCAGTCCGTAAAAACAATGAGACCGGTGGCTTTCAATATTTTTGCATTTTTTTGAAGGCATCAGATAAACCGTTCGGCGTTCCTTCTTTCGTCGAAATTTTCCTAAAAAAAGTTATCCCCATCCACTTCCTTGCCCTTTAGTTTGATCATAAAAATGGACTTCTCAAAAAAGCGTTAATGCACGTAATAAATCGAGTTTGACATTCGTGGGCACTGACAATGTTGCCTGAGATGCGCCACGCACTAGTCTGTTTGTATGGAACGCGGAGTAACTCGAATGTCTGCGTAGTTTCCTGCGCGTTAGCTTACGGAAGCCAGCCCGTCCGATCTTGAAGCATGAGTCTACACGCTCGATCTAGCTCCATTAGAGCTTGATTCACCCAGCTTTTGCGTCGGTGTTCGTGTAGCCGATTTCCTGGAGAGAGCGCGTCTACAGAGAGGCAAAAAGGCGCGCATTTTGGATCTCGGTTTTCTCACACATTTGGCTCCTGTACAGCATTACCCTTTCCCTCAGACCAACGAGAATTCCGCAACTGAGCCTGCACTAACGACTCAACCCTAGTTGTGCCTCCTTCATCTCTCCGCACAAGTATGATGCCCATGATTGAAGTCAGGTTAGTAGTGGTAAACTGCCAACAGAAGATCGACCCTGAGGAAAACTCCACATGATGTCCAGTGATCCTCACAAGGGAAAATACCTTGAGCTAAAGCCAGAGATGCATATTTGTGCATTGAATTCACATTAGAACATTTCTTGCTTAGTTCTGGGATCCTTTGAGTCACCAGTGTTCGAGAAGCGAACGCGTCGTTCCAGTTTGATCTTACAGCGCCAATTTACAGAACACTCTACTGAACACACTATTTCCACTTGGTTTGTATACAGAGTTATATGATCCGGTGCTGGTGACTGAGAGGTGAGTTTCTAGCAGCATAACTGTAACACAATGACGATAGTCTTTTGTGAGTGTCCCGGTATCTTTTTTGAATATTTTTAAAAATCATCATTTCGCCTTCGAAAATTCGGTTATCGATAACAAATATATTATTTTTCTAATCAATATGGATTCGGAAATTCGAAATATGAAAAACAAATTAATCTAGCAAAGCGAGTCTCATACGTGTAATGGTTGTATGACGCGCATGCGCGTCACGCCACCGTCATTGTGATAAGTTGTCAAAGGTAAATAGCATCAGCTATTCGGCTGTGTAGGAACTGTAACGAACGCAACCATGCAGATTTGTTACAAATTATCGTTTTTATAGAAATGGGCCACCTGCTCATGATAAATATCTGGACGATATCCTGTTTATCGAGGATTGATCATTCTTTGAGTTAAATATGCGCTCTTATCACTCTTACCTCAAGAAACACCGATCCATTATCCGCCGTTCGAATCTTTGGTTCGCCATAGATAGCAGGTGGCGCCATTGCTGAAATTCACTCCGAAAAGAAAAAGAAAAAAGCTGAAAATGAAAAACGGCTTGCAGTACACGCGGCACAGCGAATCTTAGCACTGGGAAATTGTAGGAAGAGATGAGAAGTTGTGCCGAGGAAACGAAGCGTGTGAGGAACTGCCTATGAGCACCAGCTGGATGTGGGATTAAACTGATTCATGTTCATGTTTATTCTTGCTTCATGTTCGCCTCATCCCACGTCTAGTGCTTATTACATCCAAAAGATCAACTCGGAGAACATATGCGACGTTTTCGAGCGCATGTGAAGAGAGCGTCGGGTTATAACCTCGATAAAGTGGGATCCGGATCACCTTGATAGAGCAGGGCTGTAGATAATCCAATGATATTGACAAAACTGTAGGAGTTACATCCGGGATCAGTGGTGTGCACATGAAGTGTTCCGGACCAGGGTCACATTCGATAGGAAATTCTCAACGTGTGGGCGTATTTTTTATTATATTTACGGAAGAAAAAGGCCGTGCTTGGCGACATTGTGCTTTAGAAGGCGTAGAAAGGAGAAATGTTTCTAAAGAATTGGAGCTTTTTTACGAAAGGAGAAATGTTCCGAAGAACTCGAGGTTTTTTTTTATCAAAATCAGAGGAATTTCAGAAATTTCTCACATTCGCTGTCTAGCAGTTTCAGCAATTGTACTCCCCTCCCAGTTGGAAACAGTTTCTCGGACGCAGGGAGGTTTGATGAGGTAGTACTGCCGCGAGATAATCTGGGAAGTCTCGGGGAGTACTGTATAAGTGCTACCTGGCGACCCCTCCGAAAGGCGGAATAGGTGGAGGAGGTCGGAAATAACCCTAGAACTTTCCAAAACGTAGTGCTCGCTGCAGCTCCGAATTTCGAATGGGCTAATCTTTCTGCTGGCCATACCTATACGTTTTCCACGTTATATAAAAGAGAAGATCTCGGGAAATACGGATTTCTATTGTCCGGTAGACATATTTCTAGGCATTTTTGCAAGTATTTTCCTCCATTTGTATCACTGCTTTGAATTAGCAATAAAAATGGTGTTCCTATCGGCTGCTATGCAATAACATCAAACCAAAGGTGAATTTCATGACATAGCCGCTAGAGTAAGGAAAACTTTGGGAAAAGATGGGATCACATGTACGTAGTGCATCTTTCGGTGTAAGGATTAGTGTCTTGAGTTTTTAGTGCTAGCTTCTAGGCTGAGGGGTTGATTATGTACGCAGTAGCAAAATGTATAACGGTTCATATTCCTTACGTTTCTGCCTTAATGCACAACGTCTGATTAAATAAAGAAAATATGTCGTTCAGTTCCTTGGTTTATGATTTCCTTCAATCTCGAAGACCACCATATAAAAATCTCAGCAAATGAGCGAGAATTGTTGTCAAATTACTGTGAACGTGGATGGTAATAATCAAGAGGACGAACCTACCATTACGTCTCGCGTGGGTGCTCCCGTGTGCATCAGCAGCACACCGGAAGGCAGGTGGATTCTTTGATTTATTAATTTAGAATGTTCTCTAGTCCAAAGCAGTTCAGCGCATATTTTCAAGTACATGGGGCTATTATATATTCTTACTTATAAAGTGAAATTGGTAAATTCGCAATTAGTAATAAAACTTGGACCGAGCAAAAGGGAGAATACCGAATGCGCGCCAGCGGCAGCCAGCAGAAGGGGTTTACATTAACGACAGGCCGCGCGGGGCCAATCCGACAGCCAAAGCGGTTGGTCAAGTGCTGTTCATATTAGGACCCTTTCAAATTTAAGCATTGTTTATTGTTTATTCCTCCAAAAATATCGATATTTCAGTTATAATAATTCCCTAGAATAACAGCAAGAAGATGGACGATGGAAAAAGAACGGGTTGAGGTATGCATGAGCAAGTGCGAAGGCTTGCACCGGTTAGCATGGGATGCTATGCTGCTGTGACCATGCGATGGGATGGAGAAAAGCGTCTGTAATCTCACTTTTCACCTTATCTCTCTCGGCAAGTTAGCCCTACACCGCAGATACAAGAACTGAGTGGAGCCTCGTGTGTGTAAAGTGAACGGGAGGCGTTAGTCCTCGTTGCTGATCAAGTTCACATGTTGTTCGAGAGGTCGGCTAAACGGCCAACCGTGCTTCGTGCCACGTTTCTCAAGTTGCTCAACAGTTGCAGCTGAACATTTCAGCGTTCCAGTTAGTTTTATCAGCGAAAGTGTTGTGTCAAAAAATTGGTTCCAAAAAGGGGGGCGGGGGGGGGGGGCAATCCAGCATCAAATGAAACTTCTGCTAGTCCGGCATCTCGCTCAATGAAATGAGATCCATTTCTTGACACCGCTAACATAGCGAAGTTCACGACAATTACAAATTTCTCACTCTTTTTCAACAATTGCCTCGATAGGGACTTGAAGGTCATCAATCAGCAACAGAGAAATGATCTTTGGAAAACAACGATCAACTTTTTGTTATCCTTCAGCGTTAACCGCATCCAGGTCGGCGGAACTTGAGCAGACTGTCCAGCTTAGAGTCGGCCTCTGTCTTTATTCACGACCCCTCGCGTCCATAAACGGTTCTTCGGGAAGCTCTCTGCGGAGGCAAGACTATTCATTTCTTTCATGGGTACCCTTGGGTTGTCCGCGACCAGTCGGCGAGGAAGGCGGTTTAACTGAAAAAATGCATCACAAATTTTCTCAACATAGGCGACAATAGTTCGCCTACGCTAGTTCTGCATGAAACTGTCCCACATATGATTCCAATGTCAACTCAAGGATAGTCTAAATAAATGATAGGGATAGTTCTAAAGGCAAGCATTCCTGTTTCTATCGCCCCGGAAAAATCATGACTCTCACCCAGTACCTCCCATAACTTTGTTAAAAAAGACGCGGAAGACGCGGATCCGCGTCTTCGTCTTTTTGCTATAATTTGATTTCTGATCGCTTTTCGACATGAAAAACTATACCATTAGACTCAGCTCGTCGAGTGCTATTAGAATGTCCTCTCAGATTTTAGAAAATTTCATTTTTCTATTCCAAAGTACCTGAGGCTACTCATTAGCGAGCGTCGCTCGCTATAATTACAGCCAGAGACAAACAGCTTCCACTAGTATTCAGCAAGCCTTTTCGCTTCTTTTTTGTTTTGGAATAGTATGAAAAAAGTGACTAACGTGTTCTTCAGGTGATGCTGATCATTTTGATACCTGATATTCCCTATTTAAGTTAACTTTGTTTAAATCCATTTTTGGAACGAAGTTGCATCTTTGAAGCGAAAAATAAGGAGAATGGAAGCCAAACTATGACATTAGCTGAATAGAGCACCTCTTCTAATTAACCTACCCTGCTGATAGTAAGCTTTTCAAGTTCCTCTCTGCCACCAGCTGTCAATTTCGGGCCCTTGTTTGAGAGGAATTTTCACATTTTTTCATCGAAAGGAAACCTCCCAAAAGTTATATCATTCGAATACTCATCGAAAACACTATGTAATGATATGAAGGGTAAGTCAGGAATTTCCTCATTATTACTTCCAATTTTGGCACTGCCTGCCTTCTCTTCCCGCGAACACTCGACCGGCGAGCTAATTAGCCGTGTCACCGTGGCCGATGACCTAAGCATCTTACACCACAATTGCCGTAGGACCTCTTTCACATCCCAACGGACGCCCAACAGTCTGTTAGTCCTTCTGGAATAGATCCAGCAAAAAACTTCAGTTGCGTACCATTCACCATCGTTTGCGAGTCAACTGGAAATGCTCGCGACCTCATTATCCTCACACTGTATTTTGGTGCCTGTTTAACGGCCATTTCATGGATTTTACTGGCAAAGCTGCAACCTTGACAAAAATACCTTGCGATTTTGGAGAATCTGCGCCGGAGTTCCTTACAAATAGAAGAAGAATAATTTGATTTGCCCCCCGCCGGACCCGCAAGGTCAATTTACAGGTTCTAATCGAGAAATTTTCACTAACTTTGTTCTTTCCTTATTTGAAAAAGCCTTCTAAATGAAGTTAGTGTGTCGCCTTTGTGTTGTTGTATTCAAACTTCTTCCGTACTGGACAGTTTTTTGACTCCCATTGCATCAAAAAGTGAGCGATTTGCGAGCTGCACGAATGGGCTATAACTGCTGACCGGCATCAAACGGTTTTATCTCTCTCAGCACCGCTCGACGGCTGTTTTGGAGAAAAAAGTGAGTGGGTTGGGCATTTGGACTGTGTGGACTGGTCTCAGAATCAAAAACTCTAGAAACAGCCATGATGGGAGAAGATCGTACTGGGAAGCCTTCTAAGATTGATGATGGTGGTGGGAAGGGGGTCGCATTGAGACTCCACTAAAGGGCGAGGGATTCGTAGAATTTTTGAAAAAAGGCTAACCTGACGGTTGACCCTGGTCACTTTTTCTTCGTTTTCTGACTGAATTCTGTTCAGTTCCGGCCCAACAAGCACGGCATTACACACACACTGACACAGAGGTTCGAGGACCCTATTGAAACTTATTAGGGCGTGACCCAAATTTGTGCCACAGTTTTGCAACAACAATTTTTGACCTTCAGGAACAGTACTTATGCAGCAAGCTGATCGCAAACGAATATTAGACCACAGGGTCGCACTACGGCATCTATAAGCCACCAGACGGGCCATAAACCTCCACTTGTAGCGGACGTGGGTCCACCTGATGGGGTTGCTGAACAGGGCTGTCAGTGTGAATGTATGTTCTCCTCCATATTCTGTTGTGAATGAATCATTCACTTCAGAATCTGAATAATTTTTATGAACTCTATTTTTCGGGCTCTGACGGTGTCCTCCAAATAGTGCTATGTATAACGGACTGTTGGGCGTCCGTTGGGATGTGAAAGAGGTCCTACGGCAATTGTGGTGTAAGATGCTTAGGTCATCGGCCACGGTGACACGGCTAATTAGCTCGCCGGTCGAGTGTTCGCGGGAAGAGAAGGCAGGCAGTGCCAAAATTGGAAGTAATAATGAGGAAATTTCTGACTTACCCTTCATATCATTACATAGTGTTTT